TGTTGTCTCAGATTGAATTCCTAAAGATGTTTCTATGGAAATAAATCCAACTGGACTCTCTGAAGTGAATGTCGCTTACAGGTGCTCTGTTGGGTCCCACATGTAGGATTTCTCTTTGAAAGCTTACAGCAAGTTGCTATGCCCATATAAAGGGGAGCAAAGTGTCTTTATTTGACCAATTCCCAGGTTAAGACACATCAGCATTTGGAAATTTCCTCTTACAGACTCGCTTTAGAGGCCTACAGGAAGGTGGAACCACTGATGCAATGAAACGTAAATCAGGATCTGAGCTCATGTTTCATGTTGTTTCTGTCACTTAAACACTGAGGTGTTCCAAAGCCTTTGGTCTCCATGGCAAACATGTTTTTTCTTCTGTTACAGCTCAGCCAGCAAATATTTGTACAGTAGGAAATGTCCGGCCCCATGTATTCATGCACCTGCCATCTGCTTAGGGAGCCACCGCCCTCCAGGTAAGGAGATGGATACAGGCCAAGGACCTGTTCCGTCAGTTTTCTTGTTTCTGGATCTCCTCTGAGTGCAGTTACAAAGCCGGGGTTTGTTTGCTTCCTGTTCAGATTACCTGCTGATAAGTTCAGAAAGGAATGTGCAGTGCATGGGTTGGTTGGTAATGGTGTACATGCTGCCTTCCTCAATGCAGTGGCCTCCAGAAGTGTCCAGCGATGAATCCCCATCATCCCCAGGCAACATGGCCTATCTGGTGGGCACCAGGGTGAGGAAGGCTTATGTAAAGCCTCCCACCCTTTTATATTTTGAAACAGGGTTGGGGCTGTATTGTAAAGTATTCTAAACATGCAGGATCCATACAACTAACATATAACATACACCCAAACTAACCTTTCTAGGAACATTGTATTGAGAATAACATGCTTCCAAGAGATTCTATTTGAAATTTTTAGATTTTTTTTTATTTTTTGTGGAAAACTTTACTAATTATCAGGCAGGAGACAGAGAAAGATCTCGAATTATACTTGTTCAATGGGGCTGTCCTTCCTCCTTTTTTCTCTCAGCAGCTTTTATGATCCTGAAGAGCTTCTCCTGAGAAACAGGAGACCCAAAGGACAGTGTGGGTTGAATAGAAGAGGCTGATTGGGAAGGCAGTTAGCTCAACTGGATAGCAAAAGGGGATGCAGATGGGCAGTTTTCATTATCAAGTGCACAGCCTAAAAGCCCTACCAGAAAGGGGCGTAAAAAGACAGAAATTGATCGGTTTAGGTACTGGTGCTATTCCTCTCTTCATTTTTATGAATGGTATCCTTATTCTTGTAAATGCGTTACATCTTCTAAATTTAAGCTGATGGGAAAAGTGGATCAGCATAAACTTGAGAATTATCAAATATTAAATGTTTTTAGTTGGGTCTGTCTCCTACCCATCTCCAGGATGAGGGGCAATTAACAGATGAATGAGCCAATCATATAGCTACTTGCAGACACCATTTTTGTTGCCATACGTTGCTTTCGTGAAGCCATCTGGGATTCAAATTTTGCAGTACACTTCTGTTCATGTAGTCATACCATATTCACATTCCCTTGTAAGTGTGCTTAGCATTGTAGTGCTTGTCAGTATTCACTCTCAATTTGTGCTGTGAGGCTTCCACGTTGGAAATCATGATTTTGACTTTCCTGAGCTAATATTTATGATTCCAATCCTAGAGCCTGGCAAGGACAGATCCAGGGCTCTGTTGATATCAGCTACTCCCCTGCCCTGCCTTCCTGCTTCCTGATGTATAACCAACTACGAAGCCCTCACATTGGTGAAACATCCTTGGTGTTTTTCTGTATTAGTGCAACAAACAATCTGGCACTGGAGAAGGAACCACATGCCTAAAGTAGTCACTTATGCATCACTGAAAAAGAGAAAAGATACACCTACAATTTCATAGCCTAATTGAATTTATTATAGCAGTACTTGGAAATATCTAAAAATGGTGAATAATTGCTAACTTGTGGTGCTCCACATACCATGGCCTACAGCTCCCATGACTCTTTCCTTTTGGCTTATAAACCAGCTTCAGGGTAAACCACTTCCAACGTGCATTTGTGAAATTTCTCCCAACATTTAAAATCACAAAACAAGTATAAGAATCATAGTAAAACAATCAGAAGATAAGCTTTTGGACTAGCCCTGCCAACTCCTCTCCATTTCTTTAGCCAGCAATGACTGAATGGAGGTACTTGCAATTGCAGAATTTGTGAGTATCTGGGTTTGGCTTGGTTTGGCTACTTTTCCAGCATCAGTCCTCTGTCATTATTGGAAGCATTCTTTTAGATTAACCAGGTAAAGCAAAGCATGATACTGTAATACCTGTTATTGATGAATAAATAATATTTCAAAGCAGGAAGTAGGAACTGGATTTTGCCTAATCAATCCATTATCATTTTAATATCTTTACATATTACATCTGCGGTTCTTAAGCTGTGTTTTATCAGCAAATACTTTTATTTCATGTCTACTGGACTCTGCATCATCTCTTTAATAAGGTTTTGTGTAATTTGGCTAATTCCTGGCAGTGCAGTGAAACTAATGCTTCTGTTAAACTTTTGCCTGTCTCCACCAGTTGCTTTTTCTTGGGGTGAGGGGATGTTATTTTATGGACCAGTTGCTAACACACATGCTCTTTTACATTACATACTTGTTTCTTGGAATTAACATATAGTTGACTTAAACTTTGCTTCACCCTTTTCTCAGCTAAACATCTAAAGGATACATTCTTTCCTCTTATAATACAAAGGACGGAGGACCTTTCACAATTTAAAGTAATAGACATTTACTTTCAAATGTGGTCTGCTTTTGTTAAAGCTTGTGTATAACTGTTAAGTTTCACATGCTTCATTTATGTGGATATATACAAAGCTATGTATTATTCAGTAAAAACATGCACATATATGTGCACACACATTTGTTTAGCACTAACAGTTTACTTCAGAGCATAGGAATGAGAAGCTTTGTTCCTGCATACAAGTCCCATCATTTGATTTAGATGGATACAGCCACTGTGGGTGTTGCTGATGAAAGAAGAGCTGACAATGGGTGGTAAGTCTGTTAACTGTTATTAAAGAAATAGAAGGACTGATAAAATAGAAGCAACAGTAGTACTACTGCTAATGACTTAAGTTATACCAGTGATGCTATAACTGATGGTGCCAGTATTGAAAAAATGTCTAAATAATGACCTACCTATTTCATAGAGTTTTGCAGAGGCACCAAGATAACACAGCATCTTGCCAGTATGGGGCTGGGGAATGTCCAAACTTTGAGCACAGTGAGGTTGCTGCTTAATTTGTGATTGTATACTGCGTATGGATAGACCAATGACTCTTTGCCCTTATAGATAAACAGAAGAACTTGGGAGAGAAAGTGGTTTAACAAATGGAATGATAGTACTGAATGGATCTAGGTCTCAAAGGTGTGGAAGCTGCTTCCCTGCTTATGCTGATCTCAGGTTATGAGTTTTTAGTGTTACTGCAGTGCCTCCTTCTGGTGCTGATGGGCCACTGCACAAACTCTGAGCCCTCCTGTGAGCTGGCAGCTTATCCAAATAGCTCCTCAGCCTCCCTTTCTTCCTCTCTTCAGTGCATCCTAGATAAAGTGTAGGGCATGGTGCATGTTGGCAGCAAAGACACCACTGCAGCACTTCACACGGAGCACCAGTTGCATGTAAACCTCTGAATTTGGAGGCCTGCATGCCCTGAGTTGAACTTAGGCGGCACTACTATATGCACTTACTTGGAAGTAAGTGCCACTGAAATCTGCAGGACTTTCTTTTGGGTAAACATACATGGATCCCATGGGTAGTTACCACTGAAATCATGTCATAATAACTTATCATCCCTATGTTTTCCATGGAATCTGATCATTTGGATTAACCCATAGTTGTTATAAAGTTTACAAGTCTTTTCTGCACAAAGAAATCTTGGTAATATTTGAAGTAAGAACCTTTTAAAAGTTACACCTGCCACCTTCAGATTTGCAGGGCTACATCTTACTTGAAAATGCTTTAGACTTAAAATGTATGGGGAAAGAGAGGAGGAAATTATGGAACAAACTAATGAAACCAACAGGGGCTTAAAGGATTTGGCTACAGTTTTTATTAATATATATGTTTTAACTAATTTAATACACAATGCAAAAAATGGGGCTAGCATGTATAGATAGTACAGCTAGTCATTTGCAAGATCACCAGGGTTGCAATCATAAGCTGTTTATGAAGAAGTCAGCTCCACTGCACACATTTGCTTTTGCAAATAAAGAGTTCTGTTACATCTTTATGATAGCACTACACAGACATTCTTTTCTACACAGTATTGTACAACTGGAAGCAAACTACTGTGAATATAAAATTTGCAGTGTAAATTAATGCATGTGTCTCCGAAATTGTCCTGTGGAGCACTGCTGTTCTAACTGGGCTTCCATGGAATGAAGAGAGTATGTTGAAATGATGAAACACACCACCTGTAAATCAGGCAATAAGCAGGTGGCAGGTTTTCATGTATGTAACTGGGGCCATGCAGAGCTTCTGAGAAGAGATGATAGCATATTTCCTTTGATGGCCTTTCTTAATACAGAATGGAGTGTGTGCCTTCTAGCACTGGGATGTGATGAAAAAGAACCTTAAATAACATCTGTGTTAGCATCTAGATAGAAGTCATGATGTTATGCCCTTAGCATAACACGTAGATATGTCATCCACTGGGGTAGGTCCTTCTGGGGAGGAGAAAGGATTGGGCTATGAAGTCCTGGAGATGGAGAGCTTCTGAGGTAAATTAGGTCTTCCATTTCACCTGCTGAGATTTGGTATTTCAGCCACTACTACACCCTCAAAGAAGGCAAAGATAGGCCTTGACAAAGATAGTAGCAGATACAGTCAGAAATTTTGGAGAGAGGAGAGGGAGATGGGAACCAATGGGATTGAACCCTATAACAGATGCCTCTTCTTGATTCGCATTGTTTTCTTGGGATTGATGAGCTCACAAGTTGCCATTTACAGTTCGGTCTGAATGAGACGTAATGCTTTCTTCATGTTCTCTATTACTGAAAGAAAAAGATAGGAAAGTGAATAAGGTAAAATCATAATTCCAGAAAAACAGGAGGAAAAGAAATGTAATACAAACTAAGGTCCTTGATATTCTGTGTATTGATTAATTTTAATTATGAAAATATCTATACATCATTTACAACACTGGAAAACTAACATTAAATGATACCAGAAAAAATGAATACAAATAAGACTAAAAACATCAATAACCAGAAATGAAAATTCATAAAAACATCAAAGCCCCCGTCCAAAGAATTTTAGCCTTTGCAGAAAAGAAAGTGAAACAACAGTAGCCCAAGCTCAAGCCAACGCAGATGTCAGGGTTGGCCCAAGATATTTTGCTGCCTGAGATGAATAGCTAAATGGCACCTACTCCTGTTTCACATACAGAAACCAACTGAACTGGTAGCACAATCTGAATTCCGTACCACGTGTTCTGAGGCAGTTCTGTCTTCCCACAAAGGGAGTGGCCAGGCAGCTTGGGAAAATGGTAGTGGCTGTTGCTGTTGCTACTCTTCCTACTCCACCTTTCAACATCTGCCAGTATCTGCTTAGGGGTAGGGCAGTTCTTGTAACTACAGCAAAAGCCCTGCTCTGAGCTATCAATGTGTGAATTTTTATTTAAATAATTTATTTTAAATAATTCTGGGCCACCTTTGGTAGGGTTGTTCATAAGCTGATGAAAAGCTATTGACTAGTGACACAATCAATAGTTTGCTGGATGTCAGTGGTTATGAGGGTTATTGTATAAACACACATATTTCTTGATACTGACCAACAGCTCAACTTTACTCAAAGGTAAACTGCACTGAATTCAGTGAAACTCATTCCCAAACAGGTGAATATAGGATTGTTGCTTAAACTAGACATGTTTGTTGCCCTTTTGAAACATGGGCTTTATTTAAAGGTGTTCTAACTTAAGTCCCATTCATTTCAATGGGCTTACTTTGAGTAAAACTAAGATTGAATACAACCCTGCCTTTCTCAGATTTATTTATCACTGTTCTGGCAGATCCCCTCAGGGCAGTTTACAGTCATAAAACCAAACCCCAACATAATAATCAATCAATCAATCAATAATAAAAATAAGACTACAAGAGAGCAAGTACCAAAATAATAATTAAATAAATATAATAGTTTCCCTGGTAACCAGTCATCACACCATTGTGGACAGGAGCACCCAGAGAAGAACCTCTGAAGAAAATCATAGCACTCACATAGGCTCCTTCAGTTATACTAGGCTTAAGCCTATCGGGGATTTAGAGATCAGTTCCAATACTTTAAACTAGGCTCAGAAATGAATCAGCAACCAGGACAGATCACATAGCACTTGAGTAATATGCTAAAAATGGCCATTCCCAGTAAGCAGCACTGCTTCTCTGTGCTGCATTAACTGAAGTTTCTGGACCATCTTCAAAGTTAGCCCCATGTATAACACCAGTGCATGGATAACTGGAGCAAGGATCTCTCTGTCAGAGTAGATTTGTACCTGGTATATCAGCCAAACATGCTTGGCTGGGGCAGGGATGTACTGATTTACTAAATCTCTTCCATCTGCTTTCCACAGATGGGCTCTAGATGTGCCTAGGGCTGCAGCCTCAGTGCTTAAACAAAGGGCTACTTTTCGTAAAGCATAATCATTAAAACTTTACAAGGTACTTTCTAATGCAGTTTTAATCATTTACAGGGATGTACTGATTTGTATGAATGGCTGAATGAAACCATATCTTCCAGTTAGACTTACTTTTCTGTTCTGATGCAGCATTAGCAACCTTTGAAAACAACATCTGGGATTTCCTTTGCACATGTAGAGTGGAACAAAAGGAACCAAAACACAAAAACAAGAATCCCAGCCCTTTTAAGCTCAATCCAGTCTAGTGGAACTGCAATAAACCCATGCGAACTAATTCCTCTGGGTTCGGCAAAGGCTGGTTTGTTCTTGTTCTCTATATGGGCACACAGGCAGCACAAGGGGCCATTCTGGTGCATAAGAGAACTGTGAGGTCTCCCTGTGACCTGATCCAGCCTTCCTGTCTGCCTCATGCAGGTGAATCATCCTGCTGAGCATTGCTTTGTGACATAGGGCATAGATAAAAGGCAGGATGAGGAGATATGGGAGATATATGTGACTCTCTCAGTCCCTGACATGCTCCCATATGTACCTGTGTGCATGACTCTACCTTTGCATTGGCAGGAAGGGCACATATGGGCACTGCACCTGCATAGCTCTTGAATGGAGACACCCTCCCCTCCCCACCCCAATCCATGCATTCTGTATACAGTGGAAGGCTTGACCAGGACAGTCCAAATCTAGGTTGTTACTGAAAAACTTACACACTGGCACATCTTGAGGCTCATAAGTATAGAGCCGGTTAGAGTATCTTCCAGTAATATCAGCTCTTACAGTGAGAGAAGGATCTGGAAAAGGAAGCAAAATATGGCTGGAAAAGTGACAGCATCCTACTGGTATGTTGTGTTAGTATGAACACTGGGGAATTAGAATTTCAAGTCATGCTGCTTGTGGCAAATACTTTGACCTCATTTGCTATTCTGATTTCCAAGGCAAGGTCAAACTCTCGTATTCTGGCTAGGATAGGATGGCAAGCAATGGGCTTCTGAGAACTAGCAAATCACTAGATCCCACAGATGATATGATAAATATCTCTTTGGGGTGTTGCTGGGTACAGTACGAAATAGAATATGATGAAGACATGGTGCCTTCACTAGAAAATCCTGTACTCCAGAACACTTGTAGAGCAATACTGCTGTAATATTAGGCATAAATTATTTTAAGTTTACATCACTACTACCAGATATATATATATATATATATATATATATATCAAATTTCTGCTTCATAACAAAAAATTAACACCTGTAATATTGATAAATAATGTGCTAATTCTATATTCACATATTTTTTTGCAACAATCAGCAGAGGCTGGGAAGTGATTCCTAGTAGAAACTAGGGACAGACAAATGCCAGGTTTGATTTCACCCAGTTTCTCATTTTACAACAATAAATTTGTTTCATCTAATTTTCATATCAGTTTGCATTTTTTTAAAAAATCATCATGAAAATGCAAAATATTTTCATGCACTTTCCCCAAAATATATACATTTTTGTAGGCAGTCCGGAAAATATATGCACTTTCATATACACTTTCTGCAAGTGATACATTTTTGCAAGTGATTTCCCCATAAGATAAAATATTTTGTGTGCTCTTTTCTGTAATATGCACCAGCCCTTCATCACACAACCTTCCCCAACATGCTGCCCTTCAGTTGTGCTGGCCGTGCCAGCTGGGGAGCATGGTGGTTGCAGACTTATGCATCTGGAAGTCACTGCATTGGAAACTTTGTGCTATAGATCTAGCCAGCTGCACCCACTAGTAAAATATTTGACTGGCCACTCCTACTAATATTTCTGTTTCTTTGAGATGAAGTTTTATTTCATAGACATACCTACAAACATGATTCGAGGCACATATTGTCCATCTGGTGACAAATTCTTGTCCGTTGTTTCATGCTGGTAGGAAAAAAATGAAACCATATTAATAATGATCACTCAGGACAGAATACTTTGGCTTCCTGGCTGGATCTGAAGGAGAGCATAAGATTATTCAGGATTCCAGCTCCGAGCTCCTGTGATCCTGGAGCTGGGACTCTGAAAGTCAAGACTTCGCCCCAAGATCCCACAGGTAATGCAAAGAGAACTGCACCAGCTGCCTCCCAAGGTAGCACATCTTGCTACCCTGGGGGGTGGGGGGAAGGGATGTGCTGGAGCCAGGGAGAGGAGAAGGCTGTGGCTGAAGATAGGGGGACCGCTATTGGCATTCCAGCCTCCTTCCCTCCGTTCCCAGAAATTTATCCAGAGAGCCATAAATCAGGTCATGACCCAGTTGCCTCATTTGGCACTCAGGATGCACAGAAGCCTCCAAGTTCAGAGGTTCACAGGTGTGGTGCAGAGGCGATGGGATTGCACTATGAATTGTGCATGATGACTGTCAACCCCACAACCTGCAAATAATACATTTAATGTATGCATTGTATGCCTGTACCATGAGATTGAGCATGATGAAATTTTTCTGACACATTTCTTGTATTTCTTGATTCTCCATAAAAACCTTCTTCAGTGCTGGGGGAAGTGAAAGAACATGGTCATTTCAAATGCAAAAAGAGCAGGTCAAGTTCTTTCTTTCTCTTTCTTTCTCCTTCTTTGCATTTATGTTCATTTCCCCCAAACTCAACAATAGACAGACATACACGAAGTAGACTTATTTCATACTATATGCATGACAACAGTGACAGAGTCATTTCAGAATTCTATACATCCTAAATTTCAGTGGGAAAAATCCAGACTTAGTCATAAGCAGAATAGGCCCATTAAAAATGATGAAACTTAAGGTGACTAATGTATTTATTTATTTATATTTATATTGCGATTTATATCCTGCCTTTTTCCTACAAAGGGCTCAAGGCAGCTTACATCTCCTCCATCTTATCCCCACAACAACAGCCCTGTGAGGTAGGTTGGGCTGAGAGTCTGTGACTGGCCCAGAGTCACCCAGTTGGCTCCATGACTGAGTGGGGACTAGAACCCAGATCCTCTGAGATCCAGTCCCATGCTCTTAACCACTACACCACACTGGCTCTCAGTGTAAGCCCCATTAATGTAAGACAGCTTCAGTTATTGGTGGTACAGAGATGATGATGATGATGATGAAGAGGAAGAGGAAGAAGAAATTCAAAATGGCTTCTTTGAGCATGGCTAAGTCTGGATGCATCCCAAAACATGTCTAGCTAATAACTCTGATCCAGAGTTTCATTCTGTGTAAAGTCCATGCTACCCACCTCTCAGTTTTGGCAGCACTGATGTTGCACAATCCATCCCTAACTCATGAACGGCTATTCATGTCACAGCCCAGTTTTCTAGAAACCCAGTCATTAGTATATGCAACACACCGTGTGCTGTTGGGCAGTTGGGTCCCTACCCAAACGCAGATGTTCTCGCACCCTCTTTGCTTGCTGAGCTGTTTAAGCTCAGTTCTAAGTCAAGGAAGGCATCTTAAGCTTTAAAAGAAAGCACCCATCCTGTTGACTTTCTGAGGAGCTTGAAGATACAGCCTGACAAGAGGACATTGTTCCCATTACACTCTTCAGAGATCGGTGCTACACTGCCACATTTTGTCTCTAGTTTCAAGACTAGACCAACAGAACAATAGGAAGTGTGTAGCCGACTCTGCCTTGTGCCGTGCTAGAAAATAAGTATGTGAAGTGTACTTTGCCATCCTACGTGAACATTGTCACAGGATTGTTTGGAGTCTGTTAGCTCCAAAGGGGAAAAGGCATGCGAGGGGGCAGAGAGGGGAGGAGGCTGGGGCTGAGGACTGACTGATTCCTAGCCAGCCTCCTTTCCTCCTCCTCTCTGGCATTTTATGCAAACAGTCGCAAATGGCTGCCAAAAAACTAGGCATGCATATTCTAAAAAATCTTCACAATAAATGAAAATGGTTTAATTTACCTTGGCAGTACTGACAATCTTCCAAATGGTGAATAACCATCAATGGTTTGTTACTTTTACAAAGAGAAAAACATGTATTAGATTAAATGCAAATGCATTTTTCTGTTGTGTCAGAAATAGATTTTTCTATCATGTACCACAAATTCAGGCAATTCAATAAGACACATTTATGTAGTGTTAGGGGTAGGGCATAATCTTTCATTAAAAATAGAAACAAAACTAGAAAAATAATAGTTACAATTGGAGTACAGCAGAATGACATTACATTTACTAAATCTACTAGGGAAATATATTTCTAAAAATAAAAGCTTTGCTTTGCTTTGCAGTAGGGAGGTAGGCCTTCCTGGATTTGATCAGCAATCTGAAGCTGGATTCTTGGATTTAGTCTCAAAAGTAGATTCACTGAAATCATTGGGAGCTAAGTAATCCATTATTTCAAAGGGTCTATTCTAAATACAACTGAGTTGGATCCAACCCATATTTTCTTAAGTTTCTTTCTATGGTACACTTAAGCACAACAACAAAAGTTCTCTTTATATCATAGGCAAAAACTGTATCTCATGTGTTAGTCCATTGGAAATATACTTAACTTTCTAAAAGGACTCTATCACCTGAAATGACAAACCTTTGCGGCAAAGCGTTGATCTGACTGAGAACTATATTTGGTTTTGCATCAAAAAGTATACATTGTACTGTCATAAATAGTGCAACATCAATACAGAGAGGTAAACTCCATTAAAACTATTATACAAAATAGAAAAAGTCAGCCTTAAGATCAGACTTTACAAATTCATAAAAAAAGAATAATACCTTACCATTTTAAAATAAAGTTACAGCATTGAAAATATAGAGTGAAGTACACAGAAGTTGACAGGTAATGAGCAGCTAATGACAAAACAGTCCATCTTGACCTTTTCTTTCACTATTGCATAAATAGTGAAAGGCTCACCTCCTTCTGCGCCACCCGGACCATCACGTCGTCTCTCAGCGGCTTTCGATACCATCGACCATGGTATCCTTCTGGATAGGCTAGCGGGATTGGGGGTCGGAGGCACTGCTTTGCAGTGGTTCCACTCCTATCTCAATGGCCAGTTCCAGAAGGTGGTGCTGGGGGACTTTGGCTCTGCACCATGGCAGCTATGCCATGGAGTACCGCAGGGGTCCATTTTGTCCCCGTTGCTGTTCAACATTTACATGAAACCACTGGGAGAGGTCATCAGGAGGTGTGGGCTGCGGAACCATCAGTACGCTGATGATACCCAGCTCTACCTCTCGTTCTCCACCAATCCAGGTGAGGCAGTGGCTGTACTGAACCAGTGCCTGGCCGAGGTAATGGGCTGGATGAGGGCCAATAAACTGAAGCTCAATCCAGACAAGACGGAGGTCCTGTTGGTTGGCGGATCGGGCTTCGGAGAGGGTGAATTGAACTTAGTCCTGAATGGGGTTGCACTCCCTCTTAGGGACAAGGTCCGCAGCCTGGGAGTGCTCCTCGACCCAGAGCTTTCATTGGAAGCTCAGGTGACACAGCGGTGAGGAGCGCTTTCCTTCAGCTTCGGCTGATTCATCAGCTGCGCCCCTACCTGGAGTATGACTGCCTGGTGACAGTGACACACACGCTGGTGACTTCCCGCCTTGACTTCTGTAATGCGCTCTACGTGGGGCTACCCTTGAAGACAGTCCGGATACTTCAATTGGTTCAAAATAGAGCTGCCAGGCTGCTGACGGGGACTGGGCGTTATGTTCACATGACTCCAGTTCTCCGTCAGCTTCACTGGCTTCCCACTGAAGTCCGGGCCCAATTCAAGGTGTTGGTGATGACCTACAAAGCCCTAAACAGCTTGGGTCCTGGTTACCTGAAGGAGCGCTTACATCCATATATGCCCGCCTGCCCCTTGAGATCTGCGGGAGAGGCCCTTCTCCGGGAACCCTCCGTGAAAGAAATTAGGAGGGTAGGTACTCAGAGGAGGGCTTTCTCTGCGGTGGCGCCCAATCTGTGGAATGCGCTCCCCAGAGAGGTCTGCCTGGCGCCGTCGTTATTTATTTTTCGGCGCCAGGCGAAGACCTTTTTATTTAAACATCATTTTAATTGTTAATATTATTTGCTTATTTTATCTGGCCAGGGCAACTTATTTTATATTGTATTTTTTGGATTTTTAATGTTTATATTAATTTATTGTTGTAAGCCGCCCCGAGGCTTCGGCGAATGGGGCGGCATAAAAATGTTTTAATAAATAAATAAAATAAATATTGTTAATTTGTTTTATGTATTATATTTTATGTTGTGAGCCACCCCGAGCCTTCGGCGAATGGGGCGGCATAGAAATGTTTTAATAAATAAAATAATAAATAAAATAAATTGACCAATACAGAAAAACCCCAGGTTAAAAAAAAGTTTTTAACTGATTTTCAGTTTATGTTTTGAAACAGTGTAACATTCAACTTATTAAAATTTAAACATTCACTAATACACATTAGTTCAAATTCTGCTTGTTCCAGAAAGTATGAGATTGGATGGGTTGCTGGAGAAGTAGTGAAATAAGTTTTATGTAGCAATGCTTTGTAATTTCAGGTGATCGCATCTTCATCCTAAACTTACAAAATCATAGCCACCCTTATGAGGCATTCTAGCTTATATTTAGTTAGAATTGTGGCCAGGCAATCCAGATAGTAGGGTAGATACTGTGAACAATGGACCCCAATGGACCCCAGAGGTCTAACTTGGTTAATAGCAAGAGCAATGTTTTTAGTTTCTCATTCTGGCACATTTGTTGTTGTTGTTGTTGTTTTTAAAAGCTGGCTTGTGAAGCTGTACAGGCATCATTCCCTCCTCTAATCCCTTCGGGAACCACCACGATGCAACAACACAATGGAGCCAAAGGCATCTGGGGCTGTCTGACCCCCTGCTTCATCTTTCAAACTTGGCCGTTACTGTGCCAGGATCAACGCTTCCCACAAGCAGTCCTGATGTCTGTGACTTTTTCTTTTACATTTAAGGACCTTGTGCTAAGAGAAGCACTGGTCCAGAGTTCCTTGTTTCTGCCACAGCTAAACCCCCTTCAGCCTGATTCCAGGCCTGATGATGGCTGAATATATGCCACCTTCTTGCTATTGATCTTTATTGTGTATGTAATAGCCATTATTTCAAGTTTTTCAAGTTTTAAAAACTTGGAAATCCTGACTGTATAAAAGAAAAACAGTAATAACAAAAAAGTTCTATTCAAATATTATTTGACAATAGCTACTTGTCAAATAATAGCTACTTTGCTTGGTCCCTCCTCATATTTCCTTTGAATATATTGTCATGTTGTGCCCCTCCCTCCCCGAGTTTGCTGTGGACTAACACAGCACACAATGCTTTAGGTCCAAACAATTTCATTGGCTGCTTTACCTTTGTTTCGCCTGATAGAGTCCTTCTTCATAAGTTTGTACCCAAGTAATATCATCTCCCCATCCTAGAACACCAATAGTTATAGGTTGGATTATTACCCAGTCAGCCATCCAATATTTCTCATACCAAACGAAGACTGTACTTAATTCTGTCGAAAGCTGTCCCCTAGCTTTTGCTAAGTTCAGCAGTATTTGTAGATTTCCCAGTCTATCATTCAGGCTTAATTTCCATTATTTTTGTAGCACATGCCCACCACATTCATGTACACCCTGATGCATGCTTCCTCATGAAGTGGGAGCATGTATTATTTGGAAACACATTTTAAAAGGCGTGGTATGTAGCTGTTAGAATACCACTCTGCCATATTCAAGTGCAAGAGAAGCCATGCCATTCTAGGATAGAATCCCGAAGTGGCTACAATAACAACCACCAATGTAAATGTCAGCAAACAATGCTCAGCTTTCAACCCACCTTCCCAATTCAGTGTTTATTAAGCAAAGAAAGCAATGCCTGAAGACTGTAACCTTTTATATTAGTGTACCTTCTCAAGCCTACTTATTTTGAATGAACGTATAATGCTTTTAAGAGTAACTAGATTGCTTAGGAATTAAGAAGATACAATGAAACTATAATACCTCTTGAAAGTGTCTGGGGAGCTCTCTTTTCTTTTTTGATTGCCATTGCAAAATTGGAGGAAACCGCAATTAGCATGAAAGATAAACCCAGAGCTGAATGCATCTTTCTTTCTTTCTTTCTTTCTTTCTTTCTTTCTTTCTTTCTTTTTCTTTCTTTCTCCTTCAAGATAGAACCTGATAATGGAAGACAAAGCAAGCCTTGTAATGGATGTGTTGCTACATGTTATGATAAGAAAAATACTTTGTTTTATTAAAGAAGATGGATTCCCTTTATAACAAAACTGTGTGTTTTTAAAAGCCTGGCACGCATATTAAACCAGGTAATTAATAGTGGTTTAGGATATATTCTTTTGAGGCAATATTGATGCAATTGCATTTGGTTCATTAATGCTTGCTGGCCTTTTCAAATATTATTGTTTACCAGATAATAGTTGGGTTAGTGGTCGGCAATTGATCTGTAAATGGACAGCTCTTGCAAATGCTACATATTTCTATGTGGGAGTGCAATCAACTTATGCACATAGAACCTGTTTAAAAATAATTAAATTGTCTGCCTTGGGGGAATGGGCAACTGCCCCAGACTTCCCCCTTCCCCCAGAAGGGGGGATCCAGAAGCTGGGACTGTGTTATCACAAAGAATGTTTTAGCAGGCAGATAATGGAGACTTTAAAATGCATGCATGAAGGATGGGTAGGTTTGCAGGACTGAAGCAACTGATAGGAAAAGATTTAAACCTTCCTTCTGACTGATTTAGTTGAAGGTCACATAAACTTACACAGAGAAGGGTCAGTTGCACATTAGGTAATGGATGCCATGTGGAGGGAAACCCTCAAGGTACTTGCCGCTAGTGCTTTATTGTGCAATGGCCTTGCCTCGTTCAAGGAATTTTACAGGGCATCCAGATGAGATTATCTTCCATGGGAAGCCCTCCGTGTTTTCCCATTGCTCCTTCTGCCTTACCAGAGAAAATCCATTAAGGAGAAAAGAGTGGAACAGCAATGCCTTTTTGTTTGGTAGCATCAAGAGACACCCATCTGAAAGCCCCCTTCATTGCCTTTCTTTCAGAAGATTAAAATAATTCAACCCCCTTTTCACTGTGCAAACTCCATTCCTGTTGAGTCCAGTTTTATCATTGTTAAAGAAACCACAAATTGCAGTGATTGATCATTTCCTAATTTTGCAAGAGCTGAGTATGGCTGAGTAATCAACGATGAAATACAACTCTTTGAGTTTTTAGTATGTTTTATTATATGACAACAGTAAATGCATGGTTCTATAATAATCAGTAAAACAAATAGCTCTGCTGTTACTAGTAAATTTTATCAAATACATTTCTAAAGTACCTTTCAAATACATGTTCTATACTAGCACATAGTTGCTACACAATTTCTGATGTGGCTTCTTCATGTTTCTTCTTTTGCATATGAAAGTTAGGACAACGTGCTGTAGATATTTATCCCTCTGAGTAAATAATGATGGGAATAGCTGCTATTGGAACAATTTGAGCATTTGCAGTTTAACAGTGTGGTTCTAATTATGTTTACTTATCCATGAGTTCCAATGAGCTTTATGATTTCTTTTATGGCACTTCTGTTTCCTTTCAGCCTGAAACCTTTGTGGGAACAAATTAGATTGCTTACAAGGTAGATTATGGGTTGGACATGAACATAGGGTAGAGCCACTGAAGTAAATGGGTTTAAGTTAGTTTTGAATTACTTAAATAGCATTGATTTCAATTAATTTATTCTAATTAAGTCTGGGTCAAACCCTATGGATAAAAGAATAACTTATAAAGAATACATTTTATAGCCTTTAGACTGATAGATACAGAAACTAGTAATAACAACCTTCCTGTTTAAAAATGGAAAGAAATAAATACAGTTTTTATGAGAAACATTCTCTGATTTCCAAGGACAAGGTATGCTGAGCTTCAAAACTCATTACAGATATTCTCAAAGTTGCTTCAAAGGAATAAAAACCAGTAGCTGCCAACTTCTATACTAGCTGCTAACCTAATTTCCCTTTTAATTTAGATTTAATTATACTGAAACTAATTTTACTTTCTCTATTTTGACTAAGATAATAACCCTTCTATGAGAAACCTTTGACCTATTCCTGTAGAAATGTAAATTCATTGTAAGCCAAGTGTTCACGCTCTTAGGAGATCTGTTTTCAGTACAGCTGTACATTTAAGAACCCCCCCTTTGCAAAATTTCACACAGAATGGACAAACTAACGTGGGTACCTTCTTTTCGCCCCTATGCATTTGTTTATGGTGGTTAAGCCCATTCAAAATAAAAGACTTTGGATTTTGCTCACCGGAGCCGTTCAGTTGCGCTGGTGAAAGTTCCTTGCCAAGGAAGTAAATGTTTTAAAGTGGGTGTGATTTATAGACCTGAGTATACCTGACCTGCCCAGGCACTTTGATCCAAATGTACAACAATCAATTCACTTGCAACAGGGAGAGCAATGCCTGGTTCTGTTCCTCCCTCCTCTCCTTGAACATCTGCCTCCTATGAGTTCTCATTCTGGCATATTGAATGCTCCAGTTTCTTGTCCCATCTTTGCTCATATCAGATATCATTATATTGGAACCGAAAAAGTAGTGTTTTGTGTGTGTCTGTGACTTTTCCTCCCAAATGGTTAAGGTCTGGCTCATGTTCAGCGAAATAAGAAACCAGCAATGAAAGTTGGAACTGTAGGTGCTATTGTTTCCAATGAATGGCCAGGTTCACTGGCACTCTGAGATTAGGCATGAAACTAATAGAAAGATACAAGAGTTACTTTGTGCAGAAGAATGTAATTAAGAAATCAATGTAAAAAAATTCTTTTAACTCAGAAATAAATGTTTAAAAAGTTCTGACCTTTCTGAGAATGATAGTTAGGATAAGGAAGACATTAGTTGTTTGAGTGTGCTTTCTTATAAATCTCTCCTGAGGTTGTAGGCTTGTTACCTTTGACTCCACACCTGCATGAGCTTTGCCTCTTTTGGCTTGGGGCAACAGTGACCAGGATCCAAAGGGCTTTGCGCATACAATAGACTTCACTAGCCTCCCTTCCCAAAGCATCTCCTTCTGGCTTTTCAGAGATGCACCACAAATACATCCAATATATAAATTTTGAAGATCCTCCAAAGAATGACTAAATGTGGCATAAAGACTTGCCATTGAAAAGAGCAATCGGCCACTTCCCATCTCTGCAAGGTCATGTATGGGTTTTTAGATTTTGCAGGCATTATCAGTCTGGAATCTTTGCCCACCTAAGAATTCTCAGTCTTTAAAAGGATTCTTACTAAATTTCAGAAAAAGTGAATTTTGCACCACATGCCTTTATGTACCCTTCCTTGCATCCCCCTTTAAAAGTAAACTGTCAGTAAATGCTTTCTTTCTTGGTAGACTTAGATGAAATTTACAGAGAAACTTGGGCTTCTGAGGACATTGTGCCTGGCAGGTTTCAGATGAATAGGTGCAGAGGGTTTAATGCAACAGTAGCCTTGACATATTGAGTATATTGAAAATGGGATGGAAATGTTTCTTGTAGTGCAGTGTTCTGAAAATGATATCCTAAAGATGTCCCTAAAGTAAGAAACCTGCAGCTTCAGAGGGGTAGGTTCAATAGTTCATGTGAAAAAGAAATCCTCATATTAATGGAGGCATTTTGCTTTTCCTTCTTCTCATCTTTTGGTTAATTGTTATGAAAATAGCTCACATCGTACAGGGAATAAACATGCAAACTTTCAGAATTCTAGGTACAGGGTCTATGGTTGAAAACCAGTTTAAGACCTTATTCTTAGTGAAACCTGGTAACATTGGCAGAATGGCCATCTCATGCTATCATCCTTGTAAAGCATGCCCAAGAAGGTAGAGCTGTCAGGCATTCAACTTCCCTTCCTTCACCCAGTTTTCCTTGCTCATAGCATTTTGGAGAAATTAAAGATCTTATTTGAAGGGGAGAAAGAGTGTCTGTGTGTCTGAACACAAAATGGTAATGAGACCTCCTTCTGACCTGGGTCCGGTTCTGGTGACTTCGGGCAACTCCTTTTGCTTTGGAAAATTGTACTTTCCTACATGAAGCTGTTACTGCATCTGCTTTTGGTTTCATCACAGCATTAAAATCTGATCTCTACAGCCTTGCCCAGCCTGGTGACCTTCAGAGGCATATGGGCCACAGCTCCCAGAATTCCCATCCAGCAGGGCCATTGACTGGGAATTCTGGGTGTTGGTCCAAATGGGTCTGGAAGGGACTAGGCTGGGGAAGGCTGCTCTACACAGCCTTTTCCTTTCCTGCTTTTCTGCAATACAACCTCTAGGTGGAGCTGTGCTATAGAGGAATAGCACTAACACACAGTAGAAACAGTGCTTTCAGAAACCATGTCCCATTTCTTCTGTTGTGCCCTGAAAAAAAAGAGAGAGGCAAAAATGGAGTATCACACCATTACTGGATGATTAACAGCTTTGGCTATTGGGCAATATAGACAGCTCTGGCCATTGGGTGATATAGAAATATAATTAATAATAATCTAAAGAACACATAAATAGGCATGAATCACACAATAAGTGCTTCATGTAAAGATCTTCATATTCTGGAGGGCCCAAATCAGCCTCTGCCAAGTAAGATTCACATGTCTAATGTATACCAGGAATCTTGAAATTTATTATACAAAGTACCTCTTAAGTGCATTTGAGGCTGGGAAAAATCCATCCTCCCACTAGTTTGAACATCCAACACTGCTACTGATCCAACTGGAAATATATCTGTTAGGCCCTTAGTGCTGGATGGGGTTCGGTAGTGGCAGGAAATACATATATAGCATATACAGCACACATAACGTATAGGGTTTGACTGGGGCGATTGGGTTGCTCCGCCATGTGTGTCTGCCCATGGTAGGTGCGTTCCCCTCACAGAAGAGCAGCTCTATGCCTTTCATTAGAACACAGCACAAGAAACAAACGTGAAGCTAAATCCCAGGATTAAAAGCATGCAGAGGAACTAGCAAACAGAGGTTTGGGAAGGGCGAGAGACGCATTATTGTATAGAATCTATTTCAGCACTTCCTGAACAGTGCATGAGCCTCTGGCGTGCACTGTTAGTCACGGTTTTCCT